GGCCTCGGTCCTGCTGGGCCTCTGGCTCTGGACCTGGTCGGCCTCAGTCCTGCTGGGCCTCTGGCTCTGGACCTGGATGGTCTCGGGCTCGCTGGGCCTCTGGCTGTGGCCTGGGGTGGACTTGGTTTTTCTGGGGCTGTGGCTTAGGCTTAGGTCTTCCCTCTTGTCCCCCGAGTCTGAGGACTGTGTCCTTAGCGGTGAGGAGTCAGAGAATGTTACAACAGTGGTCGAAGTGCTCCCGTATTCCTGGCAGACAGTGGACGTCTCCGTCTCTGAGGTGGATGTGGTCCTGACTGGAAAGGATATATCAAGAGTAGCTGTCAGGCCGCCTTCCCCAGACAGTGGCGAGAAAGGGAGACTTCTAGGCCTCACCCTTGCCTATGTTCCAGAGGCCTTGCATGGCCAAGGGGAAGGCCCGCCAGCTCACGGCAGCCCAGCCCTCCTGGCACCCTGAGCCCTGCAGGCGGGTCAGGGCCGAAAGATATGGGGGAGATACGAAGGACCCCACTCGCCCAGCGCTGGCCTCCACTCTGCCCCCTGCCTCTTGCCCTGTGCGTTCCAGCCACAACCAACACCCTGCAGGGCCCTGGCCCCCTGCCTGCAGCAGTTCCCCCTGCTCCACCCTGTTCACACTTGGCTACCCCTCTTCCCCTGGGTCCTGGAAGCCCTTCCTGACCCCCCAAAGGGAGCTAAGTGCACCCAGAGCCCTCGGGACTCCCCTCCATGGTATGGCTGCACTGTCCTGGTTATCTGTTTACCTGTGGGCCTTCTTCCCTTCAGGACCAAGAGCTCCCTGGGGCAACGACTGTGCCATTCATGCCTGTAACCAGTGTCCAGCACAGGCCTGGCCCTAGGATGCTCAACGCGTTTGCTGAATGGCAGGAAGGGGGCTGGCCGCTGCTACTCCCGTCCCTCCCTGGACTGCCCGTGGCTGCCCCTGGGACCCAGAGCAGCATTCTTGGGTTTTTTACTTTTGTCCCCTCCACACTGGCACCTTTCAGAATTGAGGGTAAAAGCCCCCTGGACATGCACAGGCTTTGTGGGCTTATTTCAGGGAGAGGCCAGGGGTCAGAGAGAAGAGAGGCCTGAGCGGGGAATGAGGGTGGAGCAGGCAGCAGCTGTGAGGCGCCCCGCGGTGAGAGCCGGCCTCCCAGGCTGTGTGCTGGGCATCCCTGAGGGCTCCCTGTGCCCCCCGCAAAGCTGGGATGAGTCCTCCCACTCCACACTCGCACAGCTGTGACAGCAGAGCCCAAATTCACACTCAGGCCTGGGAGCCCCTGACCCCTGACCTTTGCCCTCCTGCTGCGTTGGCTCACTCAGGTCTGGCAGGAGCAGGGGGACTTACAGCCCAAGACGGAGCCTGAAGAGGTCTGGCTGATGTAGCTGTCGGTCAAGGACCTCTCCTTGCTGGGGGCCGGCTCCAGCTTCTGGGGCAAGAGACAGGCTGCATGATCACGGGCTGCACGGTCACAGTGGCCGCAGCTCTGTAAGCCCAGCCGCTTAGAGCTCCTCGAGGGTTGCAGGTTAGGGTTGGATGGGGGCATGGAGAGGTTGACTGGACAGGAAGGGGCGTGGCCAGGTTAGACAGGTGTGGCCACGTGAGAAAAGCAGTGTCAAGAGGCTCCTGGGCCTCATCTCCCTATCTGCAAGATGCAAATTAGTTCAATTGTGGGACAGGCTTCTGTAAACTGTGAAGTGCTGTGTCCAGGGAATGGCTAGCGAGAAACTGAGGACCTTCTCCATGTTTCATGTCCCTGCACATCTGGGAGGGAACTCCCCTGCCATTACCATTTCCCGGACCAGGAAACGCCTAAGCAGCCTGCCCTGGGCACTCGGCTAAGACGCAGAGAAGCAGGGCTGGAATCCAAGTCAGGGGGACTCTGCGGCCAGGCTCGCGGCCAGGCTCTCGGCTGCTGGTCGCACTTGCAGGCCGCGGGAAATGTGCGGCAGTGAGATGCGGGAGCGGACGGGGCTGCGGAACACCCAGCAGGGACCCCACGATGACTTCAGGGCACACACAGATCCAAGTTCTGTAGTTTTGTATCCTAATGTGAGCTAGAAAAATGTAGAGCTTGCCTTTCCCATTTCCGGCAAGGGATGCTGGCACTCCGTGTACTTGGATGGTTAAAGTCTCCCTTGAACACAGTTTACTTGCTGTCCATCAGCAGTCGAGTGGATAAATAAGTGGCGGGATATTCGCAGGACAGCACTGTCTCCAGCCATGAGAAGGAGCAGTCAACTTGGATGCATCTCACAAACTTGGACGCTCAGTGAAAGAAGCCAGAGGCAAAGGGGCCTGCGCCACGTTTGTCCTCTGTTGCGAAGGACAGGCATGCTCGTGTGCGGCGTTAGGAATCAGGACAGCCCTGTGGGGTGTGCTGGGCTGAGGGAGGGGCCTGGAAGGGGGCACGAGGGGCTTCTGGGGAACTGGGAATGTGTTCTTTCTTGATCTGGAGAATGGTGCCATGGGGGTATTCAGTTTGTGAAAATCCATCAAACAGTTCGCTTATGAGTCATGTACTTTTCTATATGTTCTATTCAGTGAAAAGTTTTTAGAAATGAATTTAAGAGTTAAGAAAATTCTGGTACCAGTGGCCAGTGCACACAGCGGAATTTATGAAGGTGAGTGTGGACAAAGTGTGGGAAGCCTCTTTCTGTGAGGGGCCCACATCCTCACGCACCCTCCTTCAGGTGTACCCCTTACTGGTACCTTCTCTGTCTCACAGCGAGATGTCCCCAGCCCAAGTCACACATCTGAGTGCTGGCAGAGCCAGGCCCAGAAGCCAGCCTGTAGCCAGCGTGCATCCCTCAGCCCTGACTTGGGGTACATTCCACCTTGGACCTCGAGGACCTCCGGCCCCGGCATACAGCCTACTTACCTCCTTCTCCCCAGGGGCCTTGGCCTCTTCCTCTGGGCCTTCTGGCTTTGCCTGCAGGGACTGGTGAGTGGCCTCCAGCTCTTTGGACGTCTCGAACAAAGGCTGCTCCAGCTTCCACGAAAGCTGCAGGGCCCGGGCGGCCCTCTGGCGCTCTAGTTCCCGCTCCTTGAGCCGCCTGACAAGCCGTGACCCCAGAGCGCTGGGTAGGCCTCCCTGACTCACCCCACCATCCCCAGGACTGGATAGCGGCCTGAGAAGGCGATTAGGGCCAGAGGTGCCTTGAGCCCCAACCGTCCCCCAACTCTGGGCCCGCGGGCCCTCCTGGAGAAACTTACCCCACGATATCCTGAGGGGTGCCGGCCTGCAGGCTGTGCTCCACCACCCGCTCCAGCTGCAGCCTGGCCAGGTGGGCCACCTGGCTGTTAAGCACCTCCTCCACTGACAGGCCGGGGAAGAGGTTGGCCATCAGTGGCAGCAGCTGTCAGGAAAGAGGGTGACCAGAGAGTCAGGTGTGGGCCAGGACAGGGGGCAGATGGTGTGGTGCTGCCCTGGCAGAGGAAGGGTTCACAGATTGTTGTTTTTTAAAGGGCTGGATCTTTTTGCCCCAGAACTATCAGGACATCTTGAGAAAGGAACTATTCGGTGAGGGAGTGCTGATGGTGAGCCTGACCAGTGGTTCTGGAGCCAGCCGGATGAGGGTGTGACCTCCAAGCTCCATGACCTGGGCCAAGGGAACTGACTTCTCTGAGCCTTACCCTCTTCCCTCTATGAATTGTGGGGTGATGATAATGTTACCTGTCCTGTAGGTACTGAAGAGGGTTAAATGGAGTGATGTAAGCTGAACTGGTTAGAACAGTGCCTGGCACAGAGTAAATGCTCCAGCATTAGCAGCTCTTATTACTGCTACGAAACCAGGTTTCTTTTAGAGACAGGGAGTATCTTTAGGTGGCCAGAGGTACTAACTCTGGATCCTACCCTCCTGGCCCAGCAGGCACACACCTTCGGTTGTTTGGGGTCAAGGAGCAGGACAGTGGCAACACCCTGGCGGGCCCCAAAAATGTTCTGCGTGAGCTGCCGGCTCCTGGTGCGGTACAGGTAGTACTGGGGCTTCTGGGGGTTGTGCTGGATGGCCATTGAGAAGTGGTTCTCTGTCTTCTGGAACTGCCTGCAGGCCACAGCAGGCCACAGGGTGCTCTGAGCTGGGCCACCTGGAGGATATGGAGGCTCCTCGACCCCAGTGGGGAGTTTGGGGAAAATCAGGCTGGTCTCTGCTCCCTGCCACCACGCCCCTCTTGATGGACCCAACACTTAAACGTTAGTGTAAGATCCCAACATAAGTGGACATTTTTATGATCCTGGAGTAGGAAAGGCCTTTCTGAGATGTCATAAACCCAGCAGCTAAAAATGAGGAAATTAATTTGACTATGGTTAAATCCCATTATTGAGTAGCAAAAACACCGCAAAAGAAAGCAGTAAATAGTGAATAATATTTTGCCATAGAAGGCAGATGGTAAGCTAATTTTCCAGCCTACAAAGAACACTTATAACCAAAAAAAAAAATGTTTTTTAAATGAACAATTTAAGAGCAAATGGGCGAACAATTTGGGCAGGCCATAATGGCCAACAAACACATGAAGGATGCTGTCCTGCGCTCACAATTTAAACATGCAAAGTCAATCCACTGCGAGAGAGCCTTTTTTTGCCTACCCGAATAGCAAAGTTGAAAAATAGTCTTAATACCCTGGGCTAGGGAGGTTTGGGGAAACCAAGACTTTCCTTGACTGGGGGAAGTTTATATTGGTTCATTGTTTTTGGAGAACAATTGGGTATTATCTCTTAAAATGTTAAATTTTTACACTTCTTAACCCAACAATTTAACTTCCAGCAATCTAACTACAGAATTACTAGTATGAACACATGAAAACATGTCTTGGGTCTCATTACTGCATTATTTATAATAAAAAACTGAAAACAGCCCAGATACTCATCAGCATACTATCGTCTAAAGAAATTAATTGTGGCACCTCCACAGAATGGAATACTTTGCAAGCAATAAAAGAATGAGGTCGTCCTATATGTAATTGCCATGGGAAGTAAAAAAGCAAGTCAAAAATCAGCTTAGTGGACTTCCCTGGTGGCGCAGTGGTTAAGAATCTGCCTGCTAAGGCAGGGGACACGGGTTCGAGCGCTGGTCTGGTAAGATCCCACAAGCTGCGGAGCAACTAAGCCCGTGCGCCACAACTACTGAGCCCACGCGCCACAACTACTGAAACCCACGCGCCTAGAGCCTGTGCTCCACAACAAGAGAAGCAACCGCAATGAGAAGCCGGTGCACCGCAACAAAGAGTAGCCCCACTCGCCGCAACTAGAGAAAGCCCGCGTTTAGCAACAAAGACCCAACGCAGCCAAAAATAAATAAACTTATTTAAAAAAAAATCAGCTTAGCATGATCTCACTTTTGTAAAATGATAACAATTGTTAACATATGCATAGAAATCAATCTAGAGGACTCTACCAAACTTACAGGGGAAGGGGGAGGCGTTGGGACGTAGATATTAGAAGGAACTTTCATGTTCTAAGTTATATGTTACTGAATACTTAAGCTTTTTTAATAAAAAGCGCAATTACCATAACAATATTCACATAAAAAATGAAAGATTTTTAGAGAAAACTTGAAAAATAAAATAGATATTTAGGAGACAACTGGGAGAGCAGAGGCATCTCGACCCCAGGATCCCAGCCGACCGGCTTCACTCCAGACTCTTCTGGCCCCTCCCGCGGCCTGGCCCGCCCCGCCCACAGCCCCCGCCCCACCCACAGTCTGCGCGCACCTTCTCCTCCGCTCGCAGAAGCCCAACTTCTCCTGCAGTAGGCCCAAGCGCAAGTGGGCGCCCTCGTCCTTCGGACTCAGCGCCGGCGCCTGCTGGTAGTCCGCCTCAGCAAAGATCAGGTTGCCCAGTTGGAAGAAGCAATCTGGAGACCGGGGGCCGGGGGCGGGGGCTGGGTGAGCCCCGCAAACCCACGGCCCAGGAGCCCCAGCCCAGCTGGCTCCACCCCCAGGGGGTGGGGCCCGCAACGGGTGGTGACACCCGCGGTGATGACACCAGCGGGCGGTCGCGGGCACCTGCAGAGGTTTTCCGTGCCTCTGGCCACCTTCTTCCAGCTGCCTGATCCCGAGCATTTTGGAGGGCTGTAGCCAGATTGTCTAAGGCAACGTTTCCCAAAGTGTTTCCGTGGGACACTGAGACTCCGCTTTCCCTCCTTCCCTCCTCCCTCCCTCAGGGCCCTCAAGCGCCCAGCTCAGGCCTTGGAGGGGCAAGGGGCTCACACCGGGCTGCCCGGCCCCCACTCACCCCCGCGGTTGATGTAGAGGCCTTTCTCCCGCTGCTCGTCCTTGAGCGCCTTGCTGAGCAGCAGCACAGCTCTCCTGGTAGGCGCCCTGCAGGTAGCAGTGCACCGCGAAGTCGTTGTAGGCCAAGAGCAGTTGGCACTGCGCCTGCTGCACCAGGTCCTCCTGGTGCTCGGTCATCATGTCCAACGCCTTCAGGAAGTCCTCCACGGCGGAGTCAAACTCCCGGAGCCGTCGGTACATAATGCCCCTACGAGGGAGGGACATGAGGGCCAAAGTGCCCCACCGACTAGGGGTGTCCCAGAGAGAGGCTGCGGCTCTGGGCCCTCTGACCTGGGGGGAGGGGCTCCCACCGCACGCACTAAGTTTGGCCCGTGGGGCTCCTGGATTGCTACTTAGATAGCCAGCTAGTCACTGGTAATTTTACTTTTCTCTAAAAATAGCTTCCCTCTTTCTTTTTGGTAGCTGTGTGAGTGCCAGCCTCTATGCTAAGGCCTTTTTGTACACAGGACATTTTACCTCCACTGTTTATATGAGAAAACCCAGGCTCAAGGAAGTGAAATGGCCCAGAACGAGGTGGTGGGTCCTCGTGGGGTGGCCCAGATTCAAACCCAAGCCTCGTGCACTGAGCTGGGCTGAGCCTGCCCGTGTAAACTGCTCCGCAGGCCCGGGGATCCAGGATCCCAGGGTTAGCAGGCTGCTGCTGCCCCTCCTCCAGAGGCAGTAGCAGAGGCCACCTCCCATGATCCCTTGACCCAGGTGGGGAGTAGGGAAAGATTGTTAGAGGCTAGACGGGGAAACTGAGGCCTGGGGAGGGTCAAGGGCTCTCCTGAGATCACACAGCACATCTGGGGCAAGGCAGGGCCTGGGACCCAAGACCAGCATCTCCCCACTCAGTACCGGAAGAGGAAGAGGCTGGGGTCCAGAGGGTTGTTCTCGATGGCACAGTTGATACACTGCAGCGCACGTTGCAGCTTGCCCTGCACGGCCAGGATGCCGGCTTCTTGGCGTGCCTCTTGGGCCTGGTCCACCATCACCTTGAGCAGCACCTTGGCCTGTGGGTGCTTGGGATCCAGTAGCAAGGCACTGTGCAGGTCTCGATGGCAGAGGCTGGGCTGCAGGGGGCGGGGGGGCAGGGATGGCATTGGGGTGCAGGCCAAGCTGAACCTGCCCTGTTCAGTGTGGGGAGGCAGACCTCCAGGCCTGTAGGGACCTTTCTCTGGGCAGGCCAGCACCATGCCACCCATCTTCAGTGGCTCTGCATTGCTTTGTGGGAAAATCCCATCTGAGGCTCCATCCCTACTGGCCCCTTTCTAGATATGACCTCAGGTGAGCCAGGTCCACCTCAGTGGTTTCTGCTGTAGAATGAGGTTACAGATGCCTCCTCCTTGCAGGACTTCTGCAAGGCTCACTTGAGGAGGGGGGAGGGTGTGGTCTCCTGACTGTGACTGTTGTGTCCTCCCTATACTCCCCTGTACACCTTCCCCGACGCCCCTGACCTTTAAGCCCAAGACAACTCTAACAAAGAACAGATTCAGGCCTGGGCATGAGCAGAAAACATCCCTAGGCAAATACCTTCTCTTGGGTGAGCAGGTCTGTGAGTCAGTCAACAAACAGTTTTAGCAAGCACCCCATGTCCTATAGGGTAATTGGTTGGAGGGTGAGTGAGGCAGTGTAGACACCAGGTGTGAGTGGAAGTCGGGAGGGGGAAGATGGCCGAGGCTGGGGCAGGGCTTTGGAATAGATGGACTTGAGTTCAAGGGGAGCACCACTGTGACCTTGGGCAAGTTACCCAGACCATCTGGACCTGTTTCCTCATCTGTGAAAAGAGGGCAATGGGTTGTGTCTACCTCAAAGGGTTACTGCCAGCCTTAGAGATAAACATGAGTAGAGTGCTTAGAACGTGCTTAGGCATCGCAGGGAGCAGCTGAAATCCCAACCATCAGAAATAATTATCAATAGTTACTAGTCTCGGGACTTCCCTGGTGGCGCAGTGGTTAAGAATCTGTCTCCCAATGCAGGGGACACGGGTTCGAGCCCTGGTCTGTGAAGATCCCACATGCCGCGGAGCAACTAAGCCCGTGCGCCACAACTCCTGAGCCTGAGCTCTAGAGCCCACGAGCCACAACTACTGAAGCCCACGTGCTGCAACTACTGAAGCCTGCCCGCCTAGAGACGGTGCTCCGCAACGAGAGAAGCCACCGCAACGAGAAGCCCGCGCACCGCAAGGAAGAGTAGCCCCCTGCTCGCCGCAACTAGAGAAAGCCCGTGAGCAGCAACAAAGACCCAACGCAGCCAAAAATAAATAAATAAACAAATAAATGTATATATGTATATATATATATATATATATATAAATAAAAAGAGCAATAGGAGCATCTTAAAAAAATAAAAGTAATTACTAGTCTCCTACCTTTGAAGGAGACTCTCCCACTGACTCACCTGTGGGACACAGAAGCCCAGCCCCCAGCATAGGGAGGCTCATGGTTGCAACACCCCCAGGACACTCCGCCCAATCCAGCCCATCCCATTTACCCCGTCCTGAGGTTCCCCCCACCCCACCCCCAAGCACCCAGGCCAGGCTGGAATACCAGGCATTGTTCTGGATGCCTCTGTTTCCCTCATGTTCACCGCGCCCCCCGCCACCAAGTCAGTCTCGGGTCCTGCTTCCAAAGGTCTGTGAACTTGCCCCCTCCTTGCCACCCTCATGGCCATCCTCCTCGAGCCCCACTCGTATCCAGATGGATGGTACCCAGGCTTCTGGCCTCCAGGCTTGCCCCTCCCCCCAGCCCACATGCCCCCTGGCAGCCAGAAGGCTCTTTCTAAGGCCCACTGCCCCAGGGAGCAGCCTTTTGAGGCTCCTTCTGCCCCCCAGGAAGAAGTCAGAGTCCCCTGGGTTCATAAGACCCTGCCCATCGCTCTCTCATCCCTGCAGTCCCTCCTCCCTTGTGACCCCAAGTCTCATATCTAAGGGAAGCCTGGGTGCCCCTGATGGTGCTTCACACAATTGGGAAGTCATCCTTTGTGTAATTATCCACTTGGGGACGTCTCCCCTGGGCTGTGAGTTCCGTGAGGGCAGGGATGGCAAAGGCCTCTCACCTTGTGGTTTCCGGGGGCTGGCGCAGGCCTGGCACAGAGCCAGGGCTGAGTGAGGATGGAACAACTACCCGACTGGGCCAGTGCCAGTTGGGGCCTCTGCCTGGGGAGGACAGGGCCCCCACTACCCTGGGGGAGGTGTAGGCCCCCACTACAGCTTCGGGGCTGGCTGACAGCCCAGCCGCCTCCTGTCATCGCGGCGTCCAGACAAGGAGGCGGTCCACCCCCCTGCCCTGCACCCCCGCTCTACCTGCTGGAAGAAGTTGTAGAGCCTGGCCCGGAGGATGTAGACATCGGCATTGGTGGTGCCATGCTCCACCTCCTTGGTGACGAATGAGAGGCATTCACGATGCCGCTTGAGGGCCAGGAGACAGGCCATGCTGAGGGCAGAGGGCAAAGGTGCTCTGTCTGCCGGGTGAGAGGGACAGGTAGGGGACGCCGGGGAGGCAAAGGCCAGCAAGGACAGCCAGGGCGCTCACCATCGATAACGGAAGCAGAATTTCTCAGGCTGGAGCTCAGAGGCTTGAGAGAAGACGTTCAGGGCATCCAGAAAGGCGCATTGCTCGAAAAGGCACTGGCCCTGAGGACACAGAGAGCAGTCACTTCTGCTTGTGACCCCGGCCTAGCAGTACCCACGAGTTAAGGGATGGCCAGCACTGGGGTGGAATGACAAGGAACAGGGACAGAGCCCTTTAGATCTAGGAGAGACTTTAAGAGATAGAGACACAGATGGAGAGAGATCCAGAGCTGGGGAGACAGCAAGAGACAGAAATATACAGTTGATGACAGAGAGACAGCAATACACACAAAGGAACAAGGAAAAATAGAGAAAATCTGGGAGGTGGACCAGAACAGCAGATCTAACAGTAACAGGCTCCCACCTGGACGAGGGCTCCAGGTGCCAAGCCCTGTATTAAGAACTCGAACTTAGGGAATTCCCTGGTGGTCCAGTAGGACTCGGCACTTTCACTGCCGAGGATGTGGGTCGGGGAACAAAGATCCCGCAAGCTGCCCAGGTGCAGCCAAAAAAAAAAAACAACCCGAAAAACAAAAAACCTGAACTTATCTCACTGGGACCAGCTAACATTCCCCTTTTAGATGAAAGAACTGAGGCTCAGAGAGGTGACGTGACCTTTCCAAAGTCACACAGAAAGAGGACTGGACTCAGGGCCCCAACATTCTGGTTTTAAGAATGTTTCTTTTTCAGAATTGAATAATTACTGACATTAAAAACAAAGGCATAAAAAAAAAAAACAAAGGCATTAAATTTGTCAAAATGGAAAAAAAAACAGGACTTTGTTGGGATTTTATGGTTTAATATCATCTTTGTTTTGCATTGCAAATGGGGGGCACTCTTACCTTTTTAGTGCTTAGAGCCTGTGGACTCTAGGCCTGTGCTGCCCCATACAATAGCCACCTGCTTCCCGTGGCTATATAATTTCAAATCCATTCAAATTAAATACAATGTCAAAATTAGTTCCTCAGTCACACTCGCCACACTTCAAGGTCTCAACAGTTCCACGTGGCTAGTGGCTACCAGATCGGACAGTGATCATTGTCACTACTGCAGAAAGCTCTACTGGACAAAACTGCAAAACTGTACCCAGCCCTGGTGGTAAACAACATGGCAGGCGGGAGAGCTCATTAGCGGGGCAGCAGATGGGGACACAGACACAGGGACACGAAGGTCCCTAGGGAGTCAGGGCTGGTCTCAGGAACAAGGAAAGCCCCCCAGAGCTGGAGGGAGAGTCAGCAGGCCAGGGTGTGAGGTGGGGCCTTGTGGGCCTGGGGCAGCCCCAGGCACCTTCAGGTAAAGCACCAAGGTGAGCCGCTCCAGGAAGTCCGTGTTCTCTGGCTGGGAGGAGTAGGCCTTTCGAAGGTTCTGGGCAGCCGAGGAAAAGTCGCAGAGCTGGATGTAGGCCTCGGCTCTCAAGGCATAGAATTCTACCTGTGGGAGAGGGGACCTAGACTGCCGTTCCCTCCCCACAATCCGCCCTGAGGCTTGACACTCAGCTACCACAAGGACTTGGTGGCCCTGAGAGAAGGGGCCAGGCAGGTGCGACAGCGAGGGGTGAGTGCGGGGCCAGCAACTGCCTGTGCCCACCCAGGCCGTCCCCCTCACCAGCTGGGAGTCCAGGTGGAGGCCACGGGAGAAGAACAGCACGGCCACCTCCCAGTCTTCTTGCTCCAAGCACTGATGGCCTCGATGGTAGCTGTAGGGGCAGGGGGCACAGGCGGAGGGGCTGGCCCTGACTTGGGACCAGTCCAGGGCATACAGCTGGGGCTTCGGGAATGGGTTGGGAGGAGGGGGACTTGGGTAGGGAGACAAGAGGGGTAGACAGAGACCCAGGGAGAGGAGGCTGACATTCTTGGAGCTCATCCGGGCCAGCAGCCTTTTATCTGCTGAGGTGGAAGAGCCCTATTATACAGTTGAGCTCGCTGAAGCTCAGGGAGGGAGAGTAACTGGCCCAAGGCTGCAGAGCATGTCAGTGGCTGTGCAGGGTAGGAACCTGGGATCCCATGGCAAGGTAATCACTCACTACTCCCTGACTTTGAGGGGCACCGTTAACCCTGCAGGCTTTGGTTTTATATCATCAAAGTTCCGGAACACCTGGCTGGTCCCAAATATGCGCTGTAGGGTCCCCTTTGGCACTGGAATCACCCATGGCTTTGGGATGTGCTGTGAGGGAGCCTGATCAAGCCCCAGAGCATTCTGGAACCAAGAGACAGCAAGCTGGAGCAGGCCTCCAGAGACAGCCCCCACTCCGCTTACACGCTCTCCTCAGGTATTTTACAGGATGGAGGAGGGGTGGAAATGAGGCCTGGTAAGAAGCACGATCTGGGGTCTGGTGGCACTCCCACCCCTATTCCCCTAACCTCTCTCCAGTCCTGCCTCTGTCACCTATGGTCAAGGTTTCACGCTCACACTGGCCTCTGCCCTCCTCCTGGTCCCCCTCAGCTCCTACCTCCAGCTACTGACACCCAAAACTCTGCACCTCAGGCCCTGCCCCAAGCCACAGGCCCTGGGGGTCCAGCAGCTTCTTGCATATCCTGTGGGACCCTCACATTCAGCAGGCCAAACTGAGCACCTCACCTGACTTCTGCCCCAGGTTTTCCCACAGCGGTGAGTCCACCTTCTCTGCCAACCACCCAAGCCAAAGATCTATGTCCCATCAGTCCTTAAATCCTGTCTATCCCACTTCCTAAAGATCTCTTAGATCCCTCCTCTTCTCTCATCCTCTCATCTTGGCCAATGCCATCTCTGGCTATATGCCAGCCACCCCTCTGACCTCCCCACCAGCCACAGTTCCTAAGACCTCTGCTCTCTGCACAAGCAGCCTGGGACTTTATTGAATCGCACAAATGATCTTGTCTCTCCCGTACTTAAAACCTTTCTTGTGAACCCATACGTGGTCTCTTCTCCCCCGACCCTCTGCCTTTGCCTTAGCCTTCTCCCGCACCTCTCTGGACTCTGTCATGAGGCCCCTTCCAGGAGGACCTCCGGGCCTGGGCGGGCTCCCTCGCGGCCCTCACTTGCCTCCCGGCACCCACCCCTGACGTTGCTAGGCATCATCTCCAGGACGCCCACAGGCTCCGCCCCTCTAGCCACGCCCCCGGAATCCAAGGACTCCACTCCCTGGAATCCAATTTCAAACAGAGCCGGAAGGAGGTTAGCAAGTTTTTATCAGCTAGGGAGGCCGAGGTCGACAGCGGGAAAAGACTTGCCGGGTTTCCAAAGCGAGGCAGGGCCACAGCGGGGGCCAGAATACGGCTCCCTCCTCCCAATCCGGAGGTCAAACAAGCACTCCGCGAGCCCCACGACAAACCCCTAGGACTCGGTGGCGCGGTCCCGGGCAACTCGCGGGGGCGCCCGGCCCCGCCACTTCCGCCCCTCAGAAACATGGCGGCCGCGTGGCCCGCCCCGGATTGGACGCTAATGGCCGCCCCTGGATAGGTGGCGGCCGCGATTGGCCGAGGGCTGGCTGACGTCAGGGGGCGGGGTCTGGGCCACGAATTGGGGCCGCATGGGGCTGTTTGGCCTCTCGCGCGCAGGGCTGTGGTTGAGTCGGGCCATGAGTTGGTGCGTTTTGGAACCCCGGCCCCCGGGGAAGCGGTGGCTTAGTAGAGTGAGGGACGGCAGCGTAGGGTAGCCATTGTCTCCTGGGCAAAGCCCCCCCCCCCCCCCGCCCCAGTTCCTTGTCATAGTTTTATTATCAGAAATGGGTCCGATGCTCGGATGAGCTCCAAACTTCCAGGAGTTCCGCTCCTGCACTGGGGTGCCCTGCCCGTCCACCCCGGGGGCGCCCGTTTCCACTCGGCCTTCTGGAGTCTCCGGGGTTTCTTGGGCTTCTCTTCGTACCCCTAATCCACTCTGGCCCAGTTTTCCGTTTACCTTCCTCTGCTTTGGGTCCCGGAGGGCGCTGTGAGAAGGCGGATGGGGAGAGTTGTCGGGCCTCAGTTTCCCCGGTGTCGCCCGCAGGTGGCCGGCCTGGGGAACCCTGGACTGCCCGGCACGCGGCACAGCGTGGGCATGGCGGTGCTGGGGCAGCTGGCGCGGCGGCTACGTGTGGCGGAGAGCCGGGCGCGCGACCGGCGCTGTGCCGCCGACCTCGCCCTGGCCTCGCTCGGGGATGCCCAGCTGGCCCTTCTCCGGCCATGGCGGCTCATGAACGTCAACGGGCGCATCGTGGCCCGGGCCAGTAAGTTGAGGGCACCAGGGGTGGGCCGCCCGGGAGGGCGCAGGGGCCAGCGAGGGGATTCTGGGCTGCGGCAGATCAGTTCACCTGGAGCTCCAGGTGCCTGTTGAGCTCCAATTGCTGCCTGGCCTTGGGTGATTGTGAGAGTCTCAGTTTCTTCATACATGAAGTGGGGTTAATTGCGGCCCCTCCTCATGGGAGCATTGAGTCGGGACAACCCCCCTGGGCAGATCAGCGGTAACCAGGGCCACCGTTTCCCTGTGCAAGCGGAGCTGTTTGGACTGACTGCTGAGGAGGTCTGCCTGGTGCACGATGAGCACCATAAGCCGCTGGGGAAACTGGCTCTGAAGTTGGGAGGAAGTGCCAGGTGAGGCCCTGAGCTGGTCAGGGTGGGGATAGGGAAGCTGGCCTCCCAGCTGGAGTGGGATAGGGGTGCCGACCCCAGTCTCGGTAGGGGATGGGGTGAAGGGTGCTGACCCAAGGAAGCACTAACTGCTCCTCTCGTATCCCTTGAAGGGGCCACAGTGGAGTCCGTTCCTGTATTAGCTGCATCGACTCTAACATGAGTCCTGCACTGGGTCGGGTGGGCCGGCGCAGGGCCCCCGACACTCCTCACCAAAGCTCCCTGGGCCCCTCTGGCTCGCCCACAGGCAATGCCACGGCTGCGGGTGGGCATCGGGTGCCCGACACACCCGGACACAGTGCAGGGCTACGTGCTGGGCTACTTCGCCCCTGCTGAGCAGGAGCTGCTGCCTCCATTGCTGAGCGCCACCGACCTGCTCCTGGACCACGTCCGTGAGCGAAGCCAGAGGCCTTCGTGCAGCCCCTGACACCAGTGGACTTGGCTGCTTGCCTGACTGTCGTGCCCACACACCCAGCCACGTCCACAGAGGTGCCACGCCAACCTGTGGTATCTGTTTTTTATATAACTCTTCTCTGGGCTGCCCCAGGCTGCCTGTGGATGGAAGCGGGAACTGCGGCCGGAACAGTCCATTTGGGGGATAGGAGGTTGGTCTTCTCTCTGTGTCCTACTTAGAAAGTAGGGAAACTTTAGGAAGACTAAACTTTTTGAACCTTTTTGGAGAACCGGAGGTATGGATCTGTAAGAATAAAGATGCCAGCTTGGAAGCTGAGGCCTACTCGGGGGATTCCCACCTCTCCCCTGCCGGCGGAGGAGGGGGCCACAGGACCCAGCAAGCCCCCCTCCCAGGGGATGTGTGGGCATGTCTTAGCCCACTGAGGGTTTGCCACACCTTTCTTCAGTCCATTTTACAGATGAGGAAATGGAGGCTTAGAGAGGTCCAGCCACCTCCCCAGGGCCACACAGCTGCAGCGTGGCAGAGCCATGATCTGCACCCAGGGCTGGCTGCCATCCTGCTGTCCCCAGGGACCCTGGCACCCTCACCTCAGGGCTGCTGTGTGCCCATAAGTTTCCCACACGGGTGGTATGTGAGAGCAGCCTGAGGTCCTCAGGGTTGGGTGGGATGTGGATCCGTCGAGGCACCAGGCCCAGGTCCCCTAGCTGGTAGGGTGTGACGCTGGACAGCTGCTGCAGCAGAGGCCCTGTCTTGAGTGGCTGGGTGCTGTACCGCCTGTGGGGAGAGGGCTGGTGTCATCACCTCCATTTCATAGGTGAGGAAGCTGAGATTCAGACAGGCTCTGGTGAGCCAGGTTTCGGGCCCAGGCTCAGCTGAGGACAGCCCTTGGACAAGTCCCGTAGCTCCTTCCTCTGAGGTCACACAGGGTCACTCACCGCTCCTTTGGTGGGCCACAGGACTGGCTCTCCCGGCGGGGGGACACAGCCATCTGGGGACTCAGGACCATGGCCGAGCTGAGCATGACCAGCAGGTGCTTCAGCATCTCCTTGCACTGCAGCTGGAACACTACATCAAAGTCACCATCCTCCTTGTCGGGCTGCATCTGCCGGTAGGGGTGCGGGCAGGCCCACGAGGTCAGGCCCTTCATGGCCCCAGCACCCACCTCTGGGAAACTCCAACCGCAGTGCCTGTTTCCTCAGTGTTCCCTGGCTGTGGTGGGATACCCATTCTCCAAATGGGAAGACTGAGACCCGAGGCCTTCCAGGGCCTCAGAGGACTCCATCCAGATCATTTGAGACCTTGAAGGGGTCTTTGAAGTGCAGAATCAGAAAAGGACAGACTTGCCAGGAATCTCACAGGGAATAGGCGGGGCGCCTGGCCTGGCCACCTCCGATGGCCCAGTTATCTCCGAGCAGTTTCTGTCCTTGGCTCCATCTCCCTCCCCCCACTTTCACCCACTTCCTGTTCACCTGCACAATGTCCTGTAGGAAGGTGGTGGCCTGGGCCAGGGCTGTCTCCAGGCTCGCCCGAACCTTCTGCTCTTCGGCCAGCTCCTGCTGTAGCCGCTGCCCCTCGGCCTGCTGACGCTCCAGCTGCAGGTTCAGCTGTTCTCTCTGGCTCCTGGGCCCCGGGACCAGGACAAGTCAGCCTCCTCCCCATTCTAGGGTGAGGGGCCCTCGGCCAGCCCCGGGCCTCAGCCTGTTTGACAGATGAAGCCTCAGGGCCCCTCTAGAGAGGGGGAGTCGCTGGCCCGTGTCACGTGGCCACAAAGGGAGGGGTTCCCACCTGCTCCCGCCGCCTGCCCTTCTGCGGGCCGCACCTCAGTGCTTGGTTGTCCTTCTGCAGCTGCGTGAGGCTCTGCTCCAGCTGGCTCAGCAGGAGACGCAGCTGCTTGGCCTCTGCCGTGCCCTGCTGCTGCTCGCGGCACTTCTCCGTCAGCATGAGGATGATCTGCAGTGTGGGCAGGTGGCCGTGCCCTGGGCCCACCACAGGCCCTCAGCCAGCCCTGCTCCCCTGGAGAGGCCCGCCGAGGCCCTGGGAGCCCGGCACCCTCTCTAGATAGCAGCTGGGTCCCCGGGGTTGGGTTCGACTTCAACCAGTTATGGGGGCTTTAAACCAAATACAAACCAGAGATGGGGCCAGAGCCCGCACAAGAAGGGCCCCATCGCCTCACAGCTACCTCCCTCAAGATTTGGCCCCTGGGGTCCACCCCTGAGGGGCTGTATTTGCCCTGAGGACAGGGCCCCTAGGGTTCCTTCCTGCTCTCCGTGCCAACCACCCCATGAGGCGGGCCTGGAGGGCACACCTTCTGGTGGCCTCTGCTGTGCCTGGCCATGACCTTCTGGGAGTTCTCCAGCAGCTCCAGCTGTCTGCACAGGTTGTCCTGGTTGCCCCTGAGCTGCTCGTTCTCCTGCAGCAGCTGCATGCCTTGGCGGGATATCTTGGCCAGCTGCAGGGTCATGGTGGTGTTCTCCATGATGGCCCGCTTGGTCGTGTCCCCCATCTGGCTCGTGGCCACCTTGCGGAACTCAGTGGCCACCACATTCACGCGCTGGATGATCTCCTTCTTCAATCTAACAGGAGGGGCGGGAGTGAGGGCGTCGGGCAGAGTGGGTACAGGCACCTCCTGCCTACACGGGGGTCCCCAGAGCGCCTAGATCTCTACATTCTCTCCCCCAGGAGGGGACAGGGCCACAGGCAGGAGGCTTTTTACTGTAGACCATTTGTACCATTTTGAACTTGATCAATGTAAATATTATTAATTATTAAATAAATAGAAGTTAAGTCACAAAAGGTGGCAAAAGGAAGTCCAGGGATTCTTCCACACTGGCGCGAGAACTGGGAACCGTTTCTTCCCTCCACCGTAAATCAGCCAGGGTTGTGAGCAGCAGCAGGTCGGGGCGTCAAGGAGCTAGTGCAGCCCCCCAGTTAGCAGCCAGGGCTGTCAGAGGTCTGCGGACCGGGCTGTGCTTGGCCCCGGTAAGGCCCGGCACCGGCCTGCCCACCTGTCCGCATCCAGCGCCGACTTCTTCTCCAGGGCGTGCACGTAGTCCTTGTGTTCGTTCTCCTGCTTCCGCAGCTGGTCCTCCAGCAACATGAACTTCTCCGTGAGCTCCTCTTTCTGCAGCCGGAACTCCTCCAGGGCTGCCAGCTTCCCCCCTGCTCCACCGCAGGGCACAGGCCTGGTGAGGGGCCGCCTCGGCAGGGCAGGGTCCCGGGGGTCTTGAGCAATGATGCCCCTAAACTTGCCGATCCAGTAGGGCCAGTCCCCTGTCCCCACACACGCCACGCATGGTCCTGCCCACCTTTATGGCTTAGTCTGGAATGCTCTTCTCCTCCACTCGTCTTATAAAGCCTGGGGTTCAAGGAGCCCCCCTTGACACTCTACTCCCGCCTCATGAAAGTGACAGTGACAACAATCACTGAATTTGAACACCTGTGGATCAGGCACTCATGCTGTCATTGAAACTCACAACCACCCTTGCCAGCTGGGTGACCCTGGGCAAGACACACCCCCTTGAAGTGCTTCCTCACCTACAAAGTGGCCGGTGGTGAAGGGATTTCCTGCCTCAGGATTGCTTGGACAATTACCACGGAGGATACACGTGGGAAGCAGCACGTAGCTGTTGTTACTCAAGGTAGACGTATTATCCCCATTTCCCAGGTGAGAAAACAGGGTCAGAGAGAAGTGCTAGCCCAAGGTCACAAAGATAGTCCGTGGGAGAGCTAGGGTTAGAGACCAAAGAAGCAGAGCCTTGGATTCCCCACCCCCGTGGCGTGTGCCCCCAGGCTCGCCGGCCAGTGCCCCTCACCAAGGATGATGTTCTCAGTGGTGAGCTGGTCCTTGGTCTCCTGGAACTCGTGGCGCACCTGGGCTAGCTGTGTCTCGAAGGCGTCCTTCTCCATCTCCTTGGCCAGCTGCAGGCTTTGGAGCTGCTCGTTGAGGTTGGTGATCTCATCCACCCGCTGGTTAAGCGTGCGCTTGAGGAAGGCCACGATCTCCTTCTTGTTGTTGGCCAGCTGCTCAAACTCCTGGCGAAACAGCTTCTCCTGCACAGCCAGCTCATCCCACTTCTGCTGGTACCTGAGGCAGGTGCGGGGCAGAGGTCCAGGGAGCTGGACAAGCCAGGCCTCCACGCAGCTAGGCTGCTCCCTGGACCCTCCCATATCAGGGCATTTGAGGTTCCAGCCTCATCTCCCACTGTGCCCCCTGATCAACGCTTGCGACCAAGCCAATGCCTGTGCTCAGCACTTTACATTCATTACATCACTAGAATGTAAGGTCTGTGAGGGCGGAGCCTCTGTCTGTTACATTCACAGCTGTGTCCCCAACACCGAGGACAGTGCCTGGTACGCAGTAGGTACTCTGTGTTTGTTGAATCCACAACAACCTATAAGGAAGTAGGTACTATGATGATTATACCCATTTCACAGGTGAAGAAACTGAGGCGCAGAGGGATGAAGCATCTCTGAGTTAGTAAAGGGCAAAACCAGAACTTGAACCCAAGTCAGTCTGACCCCAAAGTCGAGGCTCTCAACCATAATGCTTGCTGCTGGCTCTGCGCCCTCCTTAATACTTCTGGACTTTGCAATCCCAAGCCTTTGCACCTGTGATCTTCCTTACCCTCCTCCATTGAGTGAACCCCTGTGTTGTCGCCTCAGTGGAGTCTGCTTGGCCCTTAGCAGCATTTGTGGCCCTTTCTTTGGTGCCCTCCTGTAGGTTGACCCTTGTCCCACTGGGAAGTCAAGAACTGACCTCCTCCATCTCTATTTTGGTGGCCTGGCAAATAATAAGTACGCAATAGACATCTCCCAAGTACATTCCATCTGGTGTCTCAGCTTGAGGGAAGCTTGTGCATTTTTAAGAGTATCACGTAAACAATTTTTTGGTTTCCAATGGAATAATTGATAGAAGTTATTTGGAAAGATGTTTTACTTCACAATTGACTCAACCAGCATCTTTTTTTTTTTTTTAAGCCGCACTGCACGGCTTGCAGGATCTTAGTTCCCTGACCAGGGATTGAGCACGCGCCCTCGGCAGTGAAAGTGCAGAGTCCCAACCACTGGACTGCCAGGGAATTCCCACAACCAACATCTTTTTTATGGCTACTGCACACAGGGCAGTGCAGGGTACAAAGCTGAATGACCTGATCTGTGGAGCAAGGAGGCATCCTGGCGTGGCGAAGTCAGGGGCCAGGGTTCACATTCTGGAGCCTCTTTTTTGGGGTGCCTTCCTCTCCCTGAGCCTCAGTCTCCCCACCTCTATAATGGGGATGACATGAGGGCCTCTCTCTTGGGACCATTTTAAGGACGCAGTGAGCGCCAGCACAGGAAGGTCTCAACATCAGCTGTGAGGATCTGCAACATCACCTGGGGAAGACCCTCTGCCTACTTGTCACCAAAGGGGTGTGTCTTTTAAGGGTCACCCTGAGACTGGGCTAGTGCATCATAACTGAGAGGAAACCAGTGTAAAAATAAGAAAAGTGGGCAAGTGAACGTGTCTCAGAAGAGTTAGAGAATCCCCCCTCCACCCACCACCACCCATGTCTCACAACCCTCCTCATTTACATTTGGGGAAACTGAGGCCCAGCATGGACAAGTGGGCTTAGCAGCTGGGGAAGCCGGTGGGGCCCACAGATCAGGGAATCATGGCACAGGCTGGGGGAGGGGGCAGGCAGAAGGAGGGACACGTGGTCACGTGCCTGCCAGGGGGCTGCCATTTCCAATTCATCCCACTGATTGAACTCTGCCATCCTATAAAATGCATGGTCCCACTGGGCAGCGGTGAGGCACGAGGGAGTGGTGCTTGCCTGGGGTGGGCTCGCACTGAGACCCCGGAACTCTGGGGGCTGAGATGGAGCGGGAAAATCCATTTTGCCTCAAAGTATTACCTAGGAGGAAACTGAGGCTGGGGTAGGGTGGGATCTGGACATCCCATGGGCGTCCAGAACATAGGTCTAGGACCCCCTGGCTGAGCCTGCACAGCGGCCAGCTCTGACCTATCAGGACCGCCCTACCCGCCCACCCACCGGGCCAGCCTGTCCTCCAGGTCGCGGATCTGGATGTGGTAGAACTCCCGGATCTCCTCGCTTATGGGCATTTCCATGGGCTTGTTGGCCAGGCTGGGATCCTTCTTCCCACCCTTCTTCTTCTTGACCTCGGGTTCCTTGGCCCCCTTGCCTGCCTTCTTTTTGGGAGCCATGGCTGTGCGGCAACCACTACTCCAGGGCCCCTTTAAGAGGCCAGGTGGTTGCTAAGGAAGTTGGCCCCATACATAGCAACAAGCTGAGGATGTGAGGCAGGGCTTAAAGGGACCTTCCCTCTTCCTGGCGAGGCTGGGCTTCAGAGACCAGCCTCCTGCTCCGAGGCCAACGGCGTCACAGGGGCCCTAGGCCTGGGTGTCCCAGGCCATGGCATCTCAGAGATCAGGACGCCAGGCTCACAGGACGTTGTTTTGTGGAGACCCCTCCTTCCCTCAAGTGGAAATAAGTGACATGGGAATATTAGAGTAAGAGCCCTAGAAATCACCACCCTGCCCCTTTGTGCCCATTGGGAATGGGAGGGGCTTCTACAGAGCTCCCCCCACCCCCACGCCGCTCCCGGGTCAAGAAGCCCCTCCCTCTGAGCCCAGCTTGTTCATTCTTTGGTGATGCAGCTACACAGCAAAATCATTCTTTCAGGGCTTCCCTGGTGGCGCAGTGGTTGAGAGTCCGCCTGCCGATGCAGGGGACACGGGTTCGTGCCCCGGTCCAGGAAGATCCCACATGCTGCAGAGAGGCTGGGCCCGTGAGCCATGGCCGCTGAGCCTGCAGAGCCTGTGCTCCACAACGAGAGAGGCCACAGCAGTGAGAGGCCCGCGTACCGCAAAAAAACAAAACACAAGCAAACAAACAAATCATTCTCTCAGTTCACCCAAAGCCGGGTGGAGAGGCGGTATGGTAAGAACTGGATGTTTTCTATCAGAGGCTCCCATGCTGGGGTCCCAAGATGTCCCAGTCCAGAGGCTGGTTCAATTTTCCACAAAGCTCAGGGGAAGTGCGCCCATGCTGACCCCGGCAAACAAAAGCCCGTTCTGTAGCTTTGGTCTGGGGCGGCAGCATCCTGGGTCAGGAGGGCAGTCGGTGACTGGTTGGCAGATGCCCTAGCTGGCAGCCATGTGCCCCAACCAGGCTCTGGCCCCTTCAGGCTAC